TGGCACTGGTAGATGTTTCATTCTTTTGGATATCAAAAGTATTTACTTCTTTGATTAATCCTTTGGCTAAAGAATCTTCCAGTTGTTTCGACTTAGGTTTATCACAACTCTTGATCAAGGGGATTTACGCCGATATAGTTTCCCCTATAACCTCAGTCTTCATATAGAATTTCGCATCTACAAAATGAGACTCAGCTTCCAAGAATGGCTTCGTATCAACTTCAATTTTCTTGATGTCATCTTGATAAAATTTGAAACATTGATGTAGTGTGGACACTATTACTCCATTTCCATGAATCCAAGGGTACCCTAATAATAGCGTGTAGGTGGTCTTGGAATTTATGACGTGGAATAGAGTGTTAGCATTTAAGTCCCCAATGTTGAGTTCAAGATGGATCATGCCAATTGCTCGCTGACCACCTTGATTGAAGCCTTGAATCACTAGTTTACTATTTGATAACTCTTCCATCGAAATGCCTAGTTGTTTCATGGTTGACTTGGGCATTATATTGACAGCTGAGCCATCATCAATAAGAATTTGGCTTACCTTTTGTTCTCAAATATATCCTGAGATAAATAACGGTCTATTATGGGGTTTTAACCCAAGTAACAAATCTTCGTCTGTGAAGCCTAGACATACAACATGAAACACATGTGTTTGCTTGAGAGACTGGAATGTCAAAATCTTTTAACTCCTCAATAAGAGCATTTTTTACCTCTCGAGGAAGCGACAACAAATCACTTACGTTGAAATATGACAGATCTTCCAGTTTTGTCATTCGTTCTATTTAACTTGTAGAAACATTATCATTGTCATTCACAGTGATAGTGTGGCAGGTGACTATTTAAAAAATTTCCTCTTAATTATCATTAAGGAAACTCAATGGAAAAAAATCTTCTAAAGTAATCATTTGTCGAGGTCGAGAAATATATTCGTTGTCTTCCACAACCAGTTTAGATTTCCACAAACTTTTCTTTCCTTTCTTCTTCTGAGTTCTGCATCTTCTTTTATGGTCGCGAAATATGCGAGACTCTTTCTTAACAAAATTTTGTTTTTGCTTCTTTCGACGAGTTACAAGATTCCATTCTCCTTTTCCGTCCTCTGTAAATTCTTCTTTTTTTGGGGAGTTCATCCTATGAGCCTTATGTTGGTACAGAATTGCTATAGGTTCGAGGGTTCCAAATTGGGTCCAAACCGCTTCTTCATCGCGAAATGAGATTGTGGACGATTGGACGCCGGAACTTGGGATTACTGCAGCGTGATTTGTCTGGGCCACTTCATCAAGATCCAACTCAATCTTCTTTTCTTGAGTGAGCTTCAAAATTCATTCTTTCAAAATGAAGCATTTTTCTATTGGATGACTAACGACTCGATGATATACACAATAGTTGGGGTCATTTGTTCTCCCCATCTGTTCGGGTCATTTGCATTCCAATAGTTGTTATAACATATCTGCAAGGTCAAAATCTGGAAAATGATAAACCTTTTCTTGTCTCTCTTCTAGAGATAGGTGACGTCTTACGTTTCCATCTTGTCGCTTTTCTATCTTCTTTTATTTTTCTTTTCCTTTCGAGGAAAATTTGAGAGGGGTCGTGTTAACGACCATAGATTCCTTTGTAGAACCCTTGGAGATCTTCTCAGTGCTCTTCACTTCCTTTTTCTCTTTCTTCACATATGAGACTAGAGACTTTTTATTACCTCTACTAGCAATACTTATCTCCATGTCATGAGCACGAGTTGCTAGCTCCTTGAATGTACGGGGTTTTATCCCTTGAAGGATGTAAAGAAGTTCCCAGTGCATGTCTTGGGTGTACATTTCTACCGCAGATACTTCCGTGAGTTTGTCCTTACAGTCAAGACTTAGAGCTCTCCACCGGTTGATATATTCGACAACCGGTTCACCTTTTATTTGTTTGCAGTTGGTGAGCTCCATCATACTAACGGTTATCCTCGTGCTGTAAAAGCGATTCAAGAATTCTCTTTCAAGCCGTTCCCAACTCTCGATTGTTTCAGGTTCGAGATCAGTAGACAATAATTCCCTTCAACATTTGGACAAACTGCTTGACCAGTTGATCGCCTCTTGTATTAGCATTCTCACAAGTTTCAATGAAGTGAGCAATATGTTGTTTGGGATTGCCCCTCCCATCGAAATGTTGGAACTTTAGAGGTTGGTATCCAGCAAGCATTCTCAGATCATTAATCATTTTAGTATATGGTTTACAATACAAGAGGGAGCTTTGAGTAGGTCCTCTGTACTGCACTCTGATGGTGTTCGTGATCATATCTTGGAGTTGCTGAACAGACAACGAAGCAATTGAAGTGGAATATTGCGATTGATTTTCTTAAGCAATGATCTTTCCCTTACCATTTATCTTGAGAGCAAGGGTTTGACTCGACTCAGCAACATCTCGGCTTTCGATCTGATTTTTCAAGAAAGCGATTCATAGTCTCTTTCTTCCATTGTTTTCATCAGTGCAGCGAGTTTCCTTTCCATTACAGCCATCTTTTCTTCTATGTTACTTGCATCAGCCATTAGATCAAATATCATATCGATTTCTGGAATTTTCTCAAACTGCACAGAGGAAGGAGTAGACTCAATGAACAAAGAGTTCTCTTGATAACGACCCCAACTTGAACATGTTTCTTCATCTGCTGCAGTATTTTTTTGGCAAAAGCTGGAGGAGTTTGATTTTCTTCTAGCCGGATTTCTTTTGAACGACTACGGGTGATCGGTCCTGTGTAGGAGGTGTTGCTTGAAGTAGAAGTACTTTTTGCAGAAGTTTTATTAAATGTCATTGTTTCTTCTTTCTTTTTCTTGAGACAAGCCCGAGTCTTGAAAAAGAGATGAGAGGTAGAGATGGTCCCACCAGACGTGCTAATTTGTTCACACGAGATTTCTGGAGAAGTTATATTTCGTGGAGTTGAACTTTGATTTTTGTATATGTTGTATAGTGGATTCAATGTCTAGTCTTTATCCTCTGATTCTTTCTCTCAAACTTGATGTGAAGATTGGGATAGTTGTTCTTTAATTTAGATTGAAGTTCTATGTTCCTTCGAAAGTCTTTAAGTTGGTYTTCGAATCTTCAAGTCTTCACAGAGTTTTTAATTTGGTGTGAATTCTCTTAATTCTGAAATTCTAAGCCCCTCAAAATGAAGGAGACTCTTATTTATAGGCGGTTTCCACGGGCATGGTGGGTTTTTGGACTTGAGTGATTTTGGACTCAACCTATGGATTGGGCTCTATTTGGATTATGAGCCCAATTTAATTTCAAAACATTTTGGCTTTGATAATTTTGGACCGAGCCAAATTCTTTAAGTGTATTTAAATTTATTTAAATTTAAATATTAATCTACCTGGTCTCATGGTAATTTGAGTTTTGAGCCAAGTTTGTGACTAAATTGTTTCCACTCTCAACCCTCATATGACCCAATTAAAACAATTCAATTCAATCCAGGGCCCAATGAAAGACATGTGACATATTTCAATTGTCAATTTATCTTTAATTTTAATTTATGGGGTTAATATATAATTGATCCCTAAATAAAATAGATAGTGACGTGGCTTTTTATGATTAGCCCAAAATTTGTGATTCTACAACTACATTAAATTAATTAAAAGTATAATACATAAATTAATTATTTTGAAGTGATACTAATGCATTAAAAATAAACATAATTTTTTCTTTTGATATCCGTGTGTCCAGTGCGCGTGCGTCGATTAATCACGGGCCAACCACTACTGAAATGAATATAATTAGTTATTCAATTGGATTAAAGTATATATTTAATTCATTTTTATCGATAAAAATGTATTAAATAGTGCAATTAAGTATGTATTGAAAATGTTAAAACGAATATAGCTCAACGATAATTAACATATATCTTCAACCAAGAGGTTGTGAGTTCGATCCCTCACCTTCATATGTTGTACTAAAAAAAAGTATTTATTGAAAATATTAATTCATTAATAATGTATGTAATTAATCAATTTTAGTTGGTTAAGTCAATTTAAGATAAGAATTTATTTCTCAATAACTATAAATTGTTCAATTAAAATTATTTACTGATTATATAATCAACTAGTTTATATTTATTTCTTTGAATTAATTCTATTGATTCATTCATTAATGCAGCATAATTATATAACTTTCTCAGGGCCAATTCAATTAAAAAAAATAATATATATTATTTGTTCCCTGTACAACCAAAACAGTTATGTTTATCATATAAACACAGACCTTTTTTTTAGCACAACAGTTTGAGGATATGGAAGATTGAACATTCAACCTCGAAGGAATGAATACCTACCAAATACCATTGAGCCATAATCCTATTGGTTGTATTCTATTTTGAACAAACGTTTATCAAATATAGAATTAATTTTGGAAAAAATAACAAAATTTCTATTAAATACAAAACAATTATTTAACAATTAGTTATCAACGTTTTTAGGAATTAGAATAAAATATTTGAAAATATAAGGACCAAGTTGATAAAAAAGTGTGAAAATAGAGGAGCTAAAATAAGCTTTAACGTAAATTTAATTGTCAAAGGGAGCATAGCTCAATGGTAATTCGAATATATCTCTAACAAGAGGTTGTGAGTTTGATCCTCTACTTCCACATGTTGTACTAAAAAAAATAAGAAAGCATAAATTTAATTTAGATTTAAATACAACTTTTACACTTATTTTAGGTCATATACTTGCAAAACATCCCTTAGAACCAAAATTTGCCACATCTAAAAATATACAAAATCAAAATAGACGTTTTGAAAGTATGGGAATTAAAATGAACAAAATTTGAAAGTACATGATCAAAATAAACGTTTTTATCAGGATTAAATAAATCAAAACCGAAAATATAAGAACTTAGATGGTATTTACTATTAAAACCTTTAATTTATCTTAAACTACATATATTTCTAATCCCAGAGGCATCTGTACCATGCAGAGCATATTTCTCCACAAAGCATTTTCAGTCCAGTCAAGTAGCAGTAGTAAAAAAAAATGCAAAAGATCAAATCATTGAATATTAACTGATTCTATTTTACAAATATGATGTACTGTACAAGTGCAACTTCCATGGCAGTGGGTATCAAAGGTTCAAATTCAGTGTTTTACAAAATCAGATTGACTGAACTGAGGGCGGATTTGAAGTTGATCTCTTTCCCGACCTCATTCGAAGGTATCTGCAGCTGTGTCTCTGGTGTTCTTTTCGACGTCGTAAATGGAACCCGTCAGTGTCTTCGTGAGATGTAACAACTCTTGCAAAAAGCAGAATCTAATCAAAGGGCAGATGATCAGAGGTGTATCCAAACCAGCACATTAAGGAAGCACGATGCAGATTCTTCCTGTCAACAGAAAAGTGTTCAAAATTACAGTTGAATTTGCCTGACATTTTCTCAAGCTTCTGGTTAACCTAATGAGAATAAATTCACATGTTATTCCGTTTGTCATGACATGGTCAAGAAGCCGAACATTCAGAATTTCAAAGCTTCCAGCTTTAGAGCCAACTGTAGCTTACAGATCGATCAGAAGCGACCGAAACCGAGAGGATTGTTCAAATTTCTGTCTTAATGTTGTAGAGAAATAATGAAGATTTGGAGACAGAGTTGGAATTTATCAATACCTTGCTACAAATAGTTAACAACTTGAAGTTCACTAAATCTATCCCTCTTGCTCCTGATAACTCTAACTTTGTCATCTCTGATCTCTAGTACCTGGTAACAGGTAATGAACATTAGGGTGATAAATAGAAATAGGATTTATATATGCAAAAGAGAAGAATGTAAAATTATGATTATAGTCCCTATACTTTGCCACTTTTACATTTTAGTTCCTATAAATGTATCAATTTAGTTCAAATTTAATGATACAAAACTAACTTTGCATAACGTGGGAATTGATGCGATTCCTCTTTCAATTTCAAATTTTTGGTATGTATGCAATTATATGACATATCAAGAGCTCAAAACATTGCAAGGAGTTTCGAATTAATCAGATCAGTTGCTGTATGTAAGAAATTATATACCCATCATAACGAGCCACTAGACGTATCGCATACCTCAGGTCTCGAGTTAAGAACACCACTCGACATCCCAACATCAACTCGCCAAATGCTGCAATTGTATTTACTGCAAGGAAAAACCAAACTTTTAAAAACATTTTGAAAAGGGTAAATGTAATTATCTCAATTGAGACCAAAACGTATTGTACATGGTACAATGCCTTTCTATAATGATTATAAAGTCCCATAGCCATCTTCAGTTAAAAAAACTGCAAAAAGATCTCTCATTTCTTGTAGTCATACCAATTTACGCCTGCTGTTTGAGGAGTGTGGCCTACCACCATTGCCTTGGCCCCTACTGCTTCTAGTGTGTCTTCAAGAATCGAATTTATCTGTCAAGAAACAAAAATGTAGGACCAAAACTTAATATTATTACGAAAAGAATTACCACAAGTACCGGGCGTACATGAGTAGTTTGTTAAGGGAATGAAAGAAAATTCCACAGAGGAACACTGGGAGTTCATGAAAGGTTGGAAAATTAAATGATGTCCAAGAGAAGAAATGAACACTTATTCCTATGTAGACCAAATTCAGTAGAAAGCTTAGTTTGGAAAGTAGTTGGTCTTTCTTAACAAGCTCTGCTCATTGACAGCTGACAGGTAAAAAAGTAGAGAAAAAGTTCGAGTTTCAAGGCTTGCCTGTTGAATCTCAAAGTCGTCCAAATCTCCAAAGTCTCTCGAGTACAATCGATTCCAAACAACACTATCATAGCCTCGCGTTGCGATGAAAGGAAAGGGACTATTACCACTTTCACCAAGGCCCTTCATCCACTGGGATACTTCCCTGTTCATCCGCTCTATGCCATATGCAACTGTGGAAGGACCAATATTCCTGTCAGACATTTAAAATTTGAAAACATAAACCATCCTGAATCAGTCTGAAAAGAAAAACACGGGATTGTTGCAAATTGGTCTTATAGCTACAATTGATTGTAAACTCATCCTATGTAGTCTAAAAACAATCATATAACTTCATATAATTCGATTTTTTTTTTCACTAATGTGCCACCTAACCAAACGATCGACATGTGCAATATCCACTCGTTGGGATGTCATTTCTCAAACCATATCGAGTACAAACAGTCATTTTTAAACTCTGACGAATGCTTTC